TTTTAGTGGAAAAAGGTATTTAGAAACTGAGATCTAAATGCTAGGATGCTCATTGCAACTGGGGTGTCATTGCTCCTGGACTAGGAAATATAACACATTCATACATTTCTGCTTCTCAATTTACCTATCTATCCCTTTCTATCTGTCATCTGTCACATTCCTATCTTTAAAATCCATAATTTGAGACCTATGCCTTCAATTCTAATCCAATATCACAATTTCCCCTTTGCATATTTATAACTCCTTTCTTCAACAGTGAGAAGTTGCATTCCCACTCTCCTTGATATGTTGACTCATTCACTTGATCCTCCTGCATGTAAGGAATCTCCCATCCGGGCCAGCCTTGTCCCCTTAGCCCCAGTGCCACCCATCACACCATTTGAGTGTTCCAACTCCAGAAGAAGGGAAGGAGAAATAGGAAATTATTTTTGCTCTTCTCTTTCCCCATTCCTTATGTGTATACTATTATTTTTCCTTTTGGATACTGCTCACATCCATTTTCTCCTCTCCGGCTTTACTTCTGTGACTAGCATTCAGGCTTGAACAGGTGTTGTTGCTTCTGGTTTTGTTCCTGGTAATCTGTCCTGCACATAGCAACCCAGATGATCTTTCACAACAAGAATATGACTACGTTATTTGTCTTTAAAGTCGCCAGTGGCTCCTCATTTTCTACAAGGTTAAGTAAACTCTCTGACTTACCATGACCTGGCCTCTGTCCATACCTCCATTCTCATATTCATGCCTTCCTTCCTTGAACCATCAGTAGAAGTGAATTTTTGTAGTTGCCTGCATATACCATGTTCCATCACCACCATTTCAGCATGATGCTCCCTTGATTTGTGAACCTCTTTCCCCAGTGCACCCTTAGAAACCCTGCTCAGGTGTCACTGTATCTAAGAAGCTTTTCTTGACACCTCTTCTCAACCATTAGTTGTTAATTATCCATACTAATTCGATTTCTTGTACATAGTTTTATTATTGCCTATGTCACTCTCCACTGTATTTGTTTACCTGTCTGTCTCCTCTACTAGGTAACCAATTCAGAGGACAAGAATTGACTTATTTGCCATTATAGTTTTAGTATCTAGCACAGTTTCTGCCATGTGTTATACACTTAATAAATACTTACTGAGGCCGGGCGCGGTGGCTCATGCCTCTAATCCTGGCTCACTTTAGGAGGCCGAGGTGGGCGGATCACGAGGCCAGGAGTTCGAGACCAGCCTGATCAACATGGTGAAACCCTGTCTTTACTAAGAAAAATACAAAAATTAGCTGGGCATAGTGGCACGCGCCTGTAATCCCGGCTACTCAGGAGGCTGAGGCAGGAGAATCACTTGAACCTGGGAGGCAGAGGTGCAGTGAGCTGAGATCGCGCCACAGCACTCCAGCGTGGGCGACAGAGCAAGACTCTGTCTGAAACAAAACAAAACAAAAAACAGCAAAAACTTATTGAACTGAAACATATATGTATGTATCTGTGTGTATTTCTTTTTCTTTTTCTTTTCTTTTTGCCTTGGAAGACTGCGGAGAAGCATCTGACAAAGGAGCCGTTTTAAGATCCCCGGTTTGTGATCATTTGTTATGGCAGCCACAGCAAATAAATACAGCATCAAGCTTATCAGAATCCACTTGCATCGTGCTTGCTAATATCCCCATTGTCAAAGCCAGTCACAAGGCTAAGCCTGCTGTCACCATGAGAGGGGACTATACAAGGGTGTGCATTCTGAGAGGTGTGGTTAATTGGAGAAATCAAAGTAACAGCGTGCAGTGAGATTTATTAGATGATTTCATGTATCATAATAAAAGACATTGAATTTCTGATGAGGGATTTCGAATGTGGTAAAATAATTCTGTGGGAACCCAACGCAGTGCCTTGAAAAGAGAGTTACCTTGGGTCAAGTACGATTGGCACTCAGACCTGACATTTCCTTTTCAATGGACTAAATTCACCATGCAGCAATTATTGGAGCTAACGAAGTGTAATCTATGTTGGAAGACAGTTATTGAAACAAGTACTTAAAAAAATTATATTGGGAGGCCGAGGCAGGCAGATCACAAGGTCAAGAGATTGAGACCATCCTGGCTAACAGGGCGAAACCCCATCTCTACTAAAAATACAAAAAATTAGCCGGGCAAGGTGGCGGGCGCCTGTAGTCCCAGCTACTCCGGAGGCTGAGGCAGGAGAATGGCGTGAACCTGGGAGGTGGAGCTTGCAGTGAGCCGAGGTGGCGCCACTGCACTCCAGCTTGGGAGACAGAGCGAGACTCCGCCTCAAAAAATAAAAAATAAAAAATAAAATAAAAAATAAAAAAAGTTTTTTGCAAAACTTTTCAAATAAATTCTTATATTAACACAGAAACAAGTAGGGCAGAATACTCATGGTTATTTTATTTAAAGTTGGGTTTTTGGGGTATCCTCTCTTTTCATGCATCTTGGGAAATTTTAGTAATGAAAGCAAATAGCGAAATATAATTAAATATTCATTTTATAAAATACGACAAACAAGAGCTCTGAGTAGAGGTTTGGCGCTTTCCCCAGGCCATTGTCTCTCACTGCTGTCTACTGCTGCGCCTCTCACTGACAGCTCTCAGACACCTCTGTGGAATTCAGGACTGCCATAGAGCGTATTTTCAAAACTGTTGACAAGGCTGACTAGGAGACGCCCTAGAAGCCCCAGGTATGTGTTTCAGTATGATTCTGGCAATACTGACTTAAAGCACTAAGTAGAATTAGTAGCCTGCAATGGATGCTGCCCCATAAGGAGTGACTGGGGAAATGTTGCTGGTTAAATAGATGGTCTTTTGAATTGGGCTGATGGTAGATGCAATAACTGAAGTTTCAAACCACACTGGGTTCGTTTGCTAGGGCTGCTGTAATAAATGACCACAAGCTGGGAATCTTAAAACAGCAGCAAGTTATTCTCTCACAGTTCTGGAGGCCAGAGGTCTGAGATCCAGGTGCTGGCAGGGTTGGGTTTTTCTGGGGGCTGTGAGAGAGAAACCAGTCTGTGCGTCTCCCTTTGGCATTCCTGGGCCTGTAGAGGCCTCCCTCCAGACTCTGCGTGTGCTGTCACACTGTGTTCCCTCTGTGTGTCTGCCTTCTCCTCTTATATATAGGGGTTAAGAAGAAATTATTTAGGCAGGTAGTGAGGATAAAGAAGTCCTCAGTAAGGATTCCTTTTAATGAAAAGCAGCCCTCAAATCATTTTCTTTGCTAATAATGAGCAGCCTGTAAAATCAAGCTGCAGACATAGACAAGCAAGCTAGAAGCTTGCATGGGTGAATGCTGGCAGCTGTGCCAATAGGAGAAGGCCACCTGGGACTAGGCATGTCCAACACGGCCCCGCATCTTCCCTTCTCTTTGTCAGCCATGTGTACAGTAAGGAGAAGACAATATGGCCCCTGCCAGGCAAAGATCTTATTTCCATAATAAGATTATGGTGAGGCCGCCAGATCCCCACACTATGTAAATGTCACACCTGGTCCAACCAATCTTTGGGCCCTACATAAATCAAACACCACCTCCTCAAGGCTGTCTATGAAATCAAGGGCACTCCCGTGGGCCAGGACTCCCATTCGGGTGCCCTTTTCTCTCTAGCAAGGGAGAAAGAGCTGTTCTCCTTTCTCTTTCTTTTGCCTATTAAACCTCTGCTCTTAAATTCACTTGTTGTGTGTGTCCGTGTCCTTAATTTTCTTGGCAGAAGGAAACAAAGCTCAGGTATTACCCTAGACAACGACGCCGCTTCATAAATACTGTTCCTATTAGATTTAGAGCCCACTGTAGTCCAGGACGACCTCATCTTAACTCCATTGTGTCAGCAAAGACTGTATTTCCAAAAAAATCCCATTCACAGGTTCCAAGTGGACATGGATTTGGGGAGACATTATTCAACCCAATACATGTGCTTGTGACTGTGGATAGTGAGGACGATTGGTTTGCTCAGGGTGGCTCCCACTTTCACCCCACTGCGAACTCTGAATATCTGAGACAGGTCTCTGTTAATTTAGAAAGTTTATTTTGTGAAGGTTGAGGGAGACAGGTCTCTGTTAATTTAGAAAGTGTATTTTGCCAAGGTTGAGGGTGTGCGCCCATGACACAGCCTCAGGAGGTCTTGACGACATGTGCCCAGGGTGGTCAGATCACAGCCTGGTTTTGTGTATTTTAGAAAAACATGAGACATCAATCAACATATGTAAGATGAACATTGGTTCGGTCCAGAAAGGAGGGACCACTCAAAGTGAGGAGGGGGCTTCCAAGTCTTAGGTAGGTAACAGACAAATAGTTACAAGCTTTCACATCACCTACCAGGCCTGCCCTGCTCACCAAAAACTTCATATACTTGGTCATCATTTCCTACATTCTCACACAGAAGAGAGCACTCAAAAAAATAGTTTTGAGAATCATTTGCTAATGATTTAATACTATTATAAGGGAATAAAAGACTTTTCTTTTAAATGAGTGCTTAAAGACGATTGGAAGCCCTCCTGAAGTTTAGGGGTGAATGGTTTATTATTTTTTATATTTGGGGGCAAGGGCTTTCCAGTGAAGACTGGAAAAACAGCTAGACCAATTCTAAAAGTTGTAACACTGGGTGGATGCTGAAGAAGCACATAGTGTTAGGAAGGTGTGGGTCAGATACGGCTTTAGAGAATGTAGCAACTGAAAGCCCAGATGGGAAGCTCCGTAGGCAGCTGGATAAGCTAATATTTCTAAATAATATGTTCAGATATCCGGACTGAATACAATCGCAACCTTCCCCACGAGCCAGCAGTGAGCTCTGAAGTTACAGAAGTGTGATGAATTGCGGTCAGTATGGGTTCTACCTTCAATTTGGAGTCAGTCAGTGACCTTAAAATACCTGCCCAGCTGAATTTTCTTAGAGCGCTTCATATCCTGTGGGCACTTTTACTCCCAATTCCAGATGATGGCTTTTAGTATGTGGGGCCGCTTTAAGAGGCAGAAACCTGATCGGAACTGCTAAAAGGCTGTGAAGGTACTGCTGTGTGGACAGGCAGGGCGCGGTGCTCAAGGCTTCCCAATGCTCCTGCAATGGATCCTCCCTACCCAGCCCACAACCTGGCAACCCAGCGGCCAGCTGTTCTCTGCAGCTTTCTACTATCATGGACGCAGGAAACGGCGGTGGGTGGCTTCTGGTTTCTGACTGGGGGAGTAGAAAGTGATGCTGCAGGGATCAAAAGCAGAGAAGCTTTTAAGCCATTTGAGAAACTGCATCTGAAGGCGAGTGGATTTTAGCAGTAGCAGCAGCAGACCCCAGAAAAATTCGAAGAAGCATTAGTTCGTGCACTGTTAATGCTGTTGTCTCATGAATGCTTTCCTAATGAAGGATGAAGGCAGGCGGCTGTTTGCCAAAGGTGTTGAGTGGCAGGGGGAGGAAGGGAAGGAAGCTGTGCAGTGTGTACTGCTTGCTTATCAGGAATCATGTCATTTCCTGTGTAAGGGGGCTGTGTGGTCTCCAGGGGCACTGGGAAGCCTTGGATGGCACCATTTCAACTTCTTCTTGCTCATCATTTGAGGAGCTCTCATTAGTGAATGCTAGCTTTGTTCATTTCATCCTACATTTATTGTGTTCATACTGTGTTCTGAGCTCCGTGTTTAATCTTGGCAGTCTCATAAAGAGGAGTAAGGACACTTTTGTCTTGAAAATGCTCATGGTCTCACATGGGCTTGGGATCAGGGCTGCTGGAAAACCCACTAAGCACTCTAAGCAGCACATGGGAAACCAGAAAAGCAGAGGAACAAAGTTTTGGGGTTTTTGGGAGAGGGGGGTGAAGAATGACATATTTTATTCCAAAAGCATAAAATCTTTAATAGTGGAAACTATGAATGATACTGTTTAATTTTCAGGAGACCAAAATATTTTAAGATTTATAGGTTTTAATCTGGCCCTAGAGTGAGGGCAGAAAATATGTACACAAACAACTCTAATACAAGACTGAATGTGATGTATACCGTAAGAGCACCAAAGTACCAATGAATTGGGAGACAGAAGAACCACAATGTCTTTATAAAGTGGTATTTGAAGTGAACTTTGATGAATAGATAGGCAGGGTTGGAGTGCAGGATCACTAAATCCGTTCAAACCTTCTCACATGGATTTTTTATGGTGTGGGGGTGGGTGGGATGGGCAAGGGTTCTCCATGTAAAGGGACTATCTCGGGAACAGACAGTCACGGTGGGAGGACTAAGCTTTCCAGTGTGCCTGGAGAAAAAGGCACATGTGAGGTCATGGCTCTCAGGGCCTAGGCTAGTCTAGTTTGGCTGTAGCGGGAAGCGTTCCTTGCTCTGCTCAGACCCAGGCACTGCTTCAAACCAGAAAGTCTGGAGAGTAGGTTCCTCCCTCCCCTAATGGGGCAATTTGCCCAAGGACAAAGTCCAGGCTTGCTCCTCTGTATCAGACCCTGCTCTGGGTAGAGGGAAACCACCGTATGCTTTCTTGTTTGATGTGCTGAGTGCTCAGCTGAGCTGTCTGCGCCCCTACACTGCTTCTGTGTACTTAGAGTCAACCTTTAGAGGATGATATTTGAACATTCTGCATGGAGCTTCCTCTGTAAAGTACAATGAGTTTGTGACTGACCAGCACTACAGACATTCCCTTTTGTTTGTGAACTGCATGGCCAATGTGTTTGGCCTCATTAAGAATGAACTGGGCAAGCTGGGCATGGTAGCAACTCAGGAGGCTGAGGTGGGAGGCTCACTTAGCCCAGGAGTTCGAGTCTAGCCTGGAAAACATAGTGAGACCCTGTCTCTAAAAAATATAATAATATAAAATTTTGAAATAAGAATGAACTGGCCAAATAGGAAAGTTTTCAAGGACATCAACTGGTCTTTTCTTGCACAGAGGAGATTCGCAGGGTGAAAACACTCTGAGGCTTCTTTCCACTAAAGGGCACAGACCTGAGTTAAGTGTGGCCTGGCCCTCAGCACTTCCCAATGCCCTTGATGCATCCTGGTGCTGACCTGTGCCCGCCCCGCACTCCCACTGTGCAGCGCCTTCTACCCTACAGGAGCCTGCTCCTGAATAATCCCTGTTTTTTTCTCTCTGTGCTCTTACGAGTCACCGAAACTTGCATGTGAATTTTATTCACAGGGTTTTGATGGCTTCTTTCTATCCAAATTTATTTCCTCCTTGACCTCATTCCTTCTGTCTTGTTTCCATCATGAGTGAAAGCCATATTATTTACATAGGGAAATGTATAGCAGGTAGAAGGATACAGTTCTAGGAGTCACAGGACCAGTGAAAAAAGTTCTGTGTAGATACACACACATATGTATAAACATAACAAACTTAACAGCAGCTTAAAGATGAAGATTAATAGTGTTAACCGTTTAAGGAGCTCAAAGATAAAACATTTGCAAATTTAAAGCATACTTACACGTGTATTCCTCCTGAGGACTTGGAAACACAGTTTTGCAAAATAACTCTGGCTGCCAGTTATCACAGGAAGAGAGGTGTTAGGTGTTGAAAACTGTTAACTGTTCATGGACCGGTATAAATTGAGTCATAGGGATGAGGTGTTTTTATGTTTGCTATATTTCCTATTTCCACTGCTCTCCTGAATAAGTACATTTACTCTGGGTGAATTTTTGAAATAATTTTGAAATTATTCAACACATTGTTATGTGTATATCCAAAGACTAGGGAAAAGAAGCTTAGATTGGTAACAAAAAGCCAACTGTGACTTTGAGCAAATTATTTGACCTCTCTCAATATATCTTTTCTTATTTTAAAGTCAGGAGGTTGAACTAGATCATTTCTAAGCATTCTTTCATCGTTGCAATCCACGAATAATGGAACACTGCAGAGAATAGTAAACACTGGGTCAGGATCCAGTATTGGCTCGAATCCTTAAAACTGTGTGATCTGAATACAGTAATTTCTTCTTCTTGGGCCTTACTTTCTTCATCTGAAAAATTACAGGATTGGCCTCTATCTTCCTTATTGTCTTTTCAAACTCTCATGTTTTGTAGTTTTCTTCAGTTAGGGTAGAAATCTCATCCTTCTCTTCTTAACATTTACTCCTGTGTTCCAGGGAGAGAGGAGGGAGTTGGGAGAGGCTTGATACAATCTTTAATTTTCTCTGTCTCTCTCTTTGTTTTAACTCTCTTTCTCCTTCCCCCTCCCCACCTTCTCCTCCATTGTTTTTTCTAGAACCCTGAGAAAGTTTCCTCACAGTCTACGTGGCAGTTGCCGCTGTTCCTAGAATGAGTCCTGAAACCTAGATCTGAGTTGGGGTAGAAAGTCTGTCATTTCCTTGCTTGTCTGAGGGCAGCCTACTGTAAGCCCTCTGGCTTGGAGGTGACTAGGCTATCCAGGAGATCAACACTTCGAGCCCTGCATGTTTAAGGAATAGTTTTGACTTAGAGTGATAGAGAACGCCTAAAGAGACCATGGCTAAAAACAGACGTTTCTGGGTGTGGTGGCTAATGCCTGTACTCTCAATACTTTAGGGAGCTGAGGCAGGCAGATTGCTTGACCCCAGGAGCTCAAGATCAGCCTGGACAACATAGTGAGACCCCATCTCTACAAAAAATACACAAATTAGCTGAGCATGGTAGTGCGCACCTGTAATCCCAGCTACTCAGGAGGCTAAGGTGGGAGGATCACATGATCCTGAGGGTTGAGGCCACAGTGAGCTGAGATTGTGCCATTGCATTCCAACCTCAGTAGAGAGTGAGAACCTGGTCAGAAATAAAGAAGAAAAAAAGAAAAGAAAAGAAAAGGAAAAAAAGAAAAAAAAAAGAAAAGAAAAGAAAAGAAGAGAGGGAGGGAGGGAGGGAGGGAGGGAGGGAAGGGGCTAAAAACAGTTAAGTATTATAAAGCAAGCATCAGTCCAGAAATCCAGCAATAGTCCCTCCTGGAATCCACCGGCTTGACTCAGCAGATTTTGGCCCTTCTCTTTTAGGGTTGCCAGATGAAAATACAGGATGCCCAGTTAATGTGAATTGCAGAAAATAACAATAATTTATTATTAGATAATACGTAATTTTTTAGCATAAATATGTCCTTTGCCATGCTTAGTTTGGGGCATACTTATGCTAAAAAGTATTTGTTCTTTATCTGAAATTCAGAATTAGGCATTTTGTATTTTTATTTACTAAATCTGGCTACCCTATTCTCTTCTTAATATTCTTAATCTCTCCCAGCGTTGCCCTCCTTCCCTGCTCCTTGGATCGAGTTGTAAGGAGAACATGCCCACTGTCTCGATGGCTGCAGTGTGTGGCCACCACAGGTGGTGATGAAGATATGGGTTTCCACCCATGCTGTAGATGGAATGTTTGTGTCCTCCCGAAATTCCTATGTTGAAGCTTAACCACCAATGTGATGGTATTTGGAGATGGGCCTTTGGTAGGTAATTAGGGTTACATTAAGTCACGGGGCGGGGCCCTCATGATGGATCTGGTAAGGAGAGCACGCGGTCTCTCTCTTGCCACCAGGTGAGGATGCAAAGAGAAAGTGGCTGCCTGCAAACCAGGAGGAGAGCCCTCACCAGGAACCAATCTAGCTGACACTTTGAACTTGGACTCCAAACCTCCAGTATTGTACAAAATAAATATGTGTTTTCAATGTCAGTTAGTCTACATTATTTTGTTTCGAGTAATATGACCTGAAAATACATTTTCCCCTCACCCCACCTGAGCAATATCTAAGTTACTTAGGGAACCTAGGGCACATCAAAGGAGAAATGTCCCATTCACAAGGCACAGCCATGCCCAGGAGAAGCAGCCCGGCACAGAAGGGAGCACACGGGCTCGGGGCTCTGACGCTCATTCTTCCTTGACCCTGGGCAAGTCACTGAGGGGAGCCTTAGCTGACCTGTTTGTAGTGGGCTTAGTAGTGCTTGCCCTGCCTCCTGTGGAGGGCTGCAGAGACCAGATGTCAAAGCACTTTAACCGTAGGGTTTATTTGAACAAGGAAGGAAATGTGCATATGCTCCAGGATGTCTGTGTATCCAAAGACACACATACACACACAGTCACTCACACACTCACACTGTCTCTCACACACACACTCACATTCTCACAGACACACACAGTCACACACTCACACTCTCACACACATTTGCACATTCACATTCACACACACATTCATACATTCACTCATACACACACACTCACACACTCACACTCTCACACCCACACACTCACACCCACACACACTCACACACCCACACACTCACACAATGCTTTCTCACACTCACACATTCACACCCTCACCCACACACACCCACACACTCACACAATGCTTTCTCACACACACACTCTCACACACCCACTCACACACTCATGCACACACATGCACTCACACACACATGCTCTCTCATGCACATGCTCACACACTCACACTCTCACACACAGTCACACACACCCACATACACATGCTCACACACACATGCGTGCACACACACACTCCATGACACACCAAACCTGGCTGCATGTTCTCAAAAATGTGCTCCTAGGCACCATTCCCAGTTCTAGACCCAGACCAGCCAGTTTACCCTTAACTTCATAAAAGTTCTCTATCTACTACTGACAGGCTCATCCCAGATCTAATTTTACGTATTTCCTAGGAGCTGGATAGCAGACTTTTAACCTCACCCCTCAAGCTGCAATGGGAATCCTTGACCTCAGCCTCACAAGGATAATTTCAAGGACAAGCAAGATTGTCCTTCAGGGCACGCCTCAGAGGAAGGGCACGGTGTGAGTGCCGGACATTGTCATGATTGTTCATTTACCTTCCAGGGTCCCTCACTGATGTCTTCCTCGTGTCTTTCTCATCTCATAAAGCAGGTTGCATCCTAAGAGTTGTGTATGGCTCAAGGTCATGCAAGGTTGGATGCCTCAGCTGGATTTAAACAAAGAACCATTGAGATCCTAATCTATGGCTCAGCCCACGGAACCACAGTGACCTCTGGTCTCAGTAGTACCTGGAGGCCCAGCCCGGGTGGAGGAAATAATGCATCTTCTCTCTGGGTGGCGTGGAAACCTCTTATGCAGCTGCCTCCTCCCGCAGAAACCCGGTGGAATCCAGCTTTCTTATGCTTCTCAGCATCTCACGCCTGCCCAGGATAGCCTGCTCCTTGCAGAGCAGGTGTTGGCTGTGGAGACACTCAGTCTGGCCGGGGGAGAGTCAGAGGACACAAATCTACTTGGGAGATTTGGAAGTGATTGACAGGCTCCAAGCTGAGCTTTCCAGACAAATTTAAATGTTCCTATTCTGTGAAACTTTGAATTCAATTTGTTTGCATATGAGGCATCTAAAACAGAAATGCCAGGACAGAACGAAAAAAGTGGAAAAATTCCTTCTGAGTTGGGGATGACCCTGGCCACCGGACTGGTGGACTGTAGTTGTTTTCCTGGATTCCCTGCTCTGCTTTGGACTGCAGTGCTCTGTCTTCTGCAAACGTCATTCCCAGGATCCCTGGACTCCTGCTCCTGGCTGGGCTCAGCCCAAGGGAGTCAGTAAGAATCAACCGCACGGCTAGGGGAAGGGAGATGCCAGGGACTCTCTCCATCTCACTCTGGCCTGGTCAGGGCCCCTAACACTGAACCTTTGTGGGTGGATGGCCCCTCCCTCCATACTTCCAATTCCCACCAGGCAGCCTGGGATTCGGGTTTGGGTAACATTCTCTTTCCAAGCCCAGGGTGGGTAGAAACTTCTTCCTGTTACGTCTCTCTGGTTTGCCTCACTAATCCTATTTGACTTTTCAGCTCCTTCAACATCTTTGTGGCCAGTTCCCCACATTATAGTCCCCTCTATTGAAGTCCTAGGCTGGGCACAGTTTTCCTGTCTGATCTGTGCGTGGAATCGCTGAGGGTCTGTGATACAAGCGAGGAGCCCGTGGACCTGCCCGTGTGAGCTGCGTTAGAGGTGGGACGGGGACCAGCTCCCCCAGAGTAATTGAAAGACTCAGTGGCTGTCCTTCCTTGTTGGGCAGGGGCACTTGAAATCTGAGGGTCGCAGTGGGCCACATTTTAATGGTAAGGAGAACCCCAGAAAATAAGCTGAAATTGCCAGTTGGTGCAGAGAAATGGTTCAAATCCTCTAACTCCGCCAGAAAGCCCCTTCTTTGATGAAAATCAAAGAAATTAAAATCTTTTTTTTTTAAAAAAGAAAGAAATGGAATAAAAGACAAAAAGAGAACCTCAGGTGTCAAGATATTAAGGGAACAGGGAGCTGTCATTTCTACTTTATCATCTTTGCCTCTTTGGCTGGGAAGTGACTTCTTTCAAAGAGAAGCAGGGACCCCTCATCCCTTACCCATAAGGACTGGACCCTGATGGAGACACCAGTGGCTCAACCCAAGCATCTTGTGATCATGACTCCCTGGGGCATGTCTAGGAGTCTGTTGCTCACCATAACCAGGCTCCAGCTCCTGGCAATGTGCGTTTATGCCACACCACCACCAGCCTGTCCATGTGAGACTCAAGCCCCGCTTCTGCTCCTCCATGGCTCAAACCAGCCTGCTCAAAGGGCACACTGAGGTCAGCAGGGCCTGCAGAGCCCTGGAGGGCAATCCCTGACAATGGGCCCTGAGTCATGATGCATTATTCATAGGCCCCTGAGCCTGTGCCAACTGCCACCCTGCGCAGCTCAGAGGAAGATTCAGCTCCAGAGACATGGGCATTCCTAAGGAATATTTCATGCAGGAAATTGTTCCTTTAACTTTATTATTGTCATAAAACACACATCACATAACGTTTGCCATTTTATTTTATTTTATTTGAGACGGAGTCTGGCTCTGTTGTCAGGCTGTAGTGCAGTGACATGGTCTTGGCTCACTGCAACCTCCATCTCCTGGGTTCAAACAATTCTCTTGCCTCAGTCTCCCGAGTAGCTGGGACTACAGGTGCCCGCCACCATGCCCAGCTAATTTTTGCATTTTTAGTAGAGATGGGGCTTCATCATGTTGGCCAGGATGATCTCGATCTCTTGACCTCGTGATCTTCTTGCCTCGGCCTCCCAAAGTGCTGGGTTTACAGCTCATTTTAACCATTTAAAATGTACAGTTCAGTGGCATTTAGTCCATTCACATGGTTGTGCGAGCATCACCACCACCATCCATCTCCAGAACTCTTTCATCTTTCCAAACTGAAACCGTGTCCATTAAACACTCACTCCCATTGCCCCCTCCCTCCAGCCCCTGACAACCACCATTTGACTTCCTGTCTCTGAATCTGACTCCTATAAGTACCTCATATAAGTGGAATCAGACAGTATTTGTCCTGTGTCTGACTTAGTTCACTGAGCAAATGTCCTCAAGTTTCATCCATGTTACAGCATGTGTCAGAATTTCCTTCCTTTTTCAGTCTGAATAGTGTTCTGTGGTGTGTAGCCTACATTTCATTATCTCTCCATCCACCGATGGACATTGGGGTTGCTTCTATTTTGGGGGCTCTTGTGAAGAATGTTGCTATGAACATGGGTGTGCAGGTGTCTCTTAGAGTTCCTGCTTTCAATTCTTTTAGGTGTATTTTCAGAAGTGGACTTGCTGGATCCGATGGTAATTCTAGGTTGTACTTTCTGAGGAGCCTGTGCACCGTTTTCCACAGCAGCTGTACAATTTTACCCTCCCACCCACAGTGCACGAGGGTTCCAGTGTCTCCACATTCTCACCAACACTCGTTATTTTCTCTTCTTCTAGGAAAAAATATTAGCTACCCTAATGGGTATAAAGTGTCTTTTAACTTTTTAGTTTAATGTTTAAAAAATTATTCTATATATGGGATACAAATTTCACATTGCATAAGAAGGTACACAATAAAATCTGAATATTTCTGTCTCTTGACCTCAGTTTCCCAGCAACCAGTCACCACCCTCAGAGCTGCTTCCTGAGATGGTCCATGCCTAGACGAGCTTATATATGTGTATACATATTTTAAAAAACAAACAGGAACATTATTTTATGCATTGCTTTTTAAAAAATGAAACATGCAATTTTTCACTAAATATCATTCTCCGTAACTGTATCTAGAGATAACAAGATATTTAAATCTCCATAGGATACTGATAGCCATAATTAAGAGATCTCATCCTTCCAGCCTAATATGGAAACCTTGGACTTCAGAAAGATAATACATATATATACATATATACATATATACACATACACGTGTGTATATATATACACACACACATTGTGTGAATATACTGTGTGTATATATATACACACACTGTGTGAATATACTGTGTGTGTATATATACACACACTGTGTGAATATACTGTGTGTGTATATACACACACACACACACACACACACACACAGTATATTCACACCACTCCCAGCAGGGACTGGAGCAGCAGCCTGTCATCAAACACATAAAGATTTCTGTGGAGAAAAATAAGAGTGAATTGCACTAAGTGGGATGTAGAGCCATACATTCGTTGCAGTCTGGTTTAGCCACCAAACGAGTTTAGAAAGCTTTCAGTTTTTAGAGGTTTTTGGATTTCAGAATTGCAGGTAAGATTATAGGCTTTTATTAATAATATTTAGGACTTGTCAGGCCTTGGACTGGGAGTTTTTCTTATCTTATTTTTGATACTCATAATAACCTTATGAGATTGAAATTT